CTGATCCTGGGACAGAAACACACTGCTGTGACGGGCAGACACTCCACGCGCCTCTGCACGGGCCACCGTGGGGGCCACCACAGCCGCGTGACCGTCAACGTATGTGTCAGCCAGATGGGCCTGCAGGAGGCCGGCACCCGTGAGGACAGAGGAGCATGTGATTCGGGGGACCGAGTGGACAAACCCCATCATCCAATCCGCTGGGGCCCGAGTGGAGCGAAAGTGAGCGGGAAGGTGGACTCACCCTGCTTGAGCTGAGACAGACTTCCTCTGTCCTCGGACACCAGCACTCCCGCCTCTCGGGCTTTCGGACTCAGGCTGACGGCCACCCCCCTGTCTCCTGGGCCTCCACCTGCAGACGCGGTCGGTGGGATTTCCCAGCCTCTGTGACCCTGTGAGCCCTTCCTGTAACAGATCTGCTCATCCTGATCCATCTATGGGCTATCATCTATCTATCCATCATCTATCTACCTATTTATATGTCTATCATCTATCTATATATCTCCACATCTATATATATATCATCTATCCACCTATCGTCTATCTATCATCCATCTATCTCCATATCTATCTATCTATTCATTGTCTACCTATAATCTATCTATTGGCTATCATCTATCTCCTAATGGTTTTGTGTCCCTGGAGAACCTTAACTAATGCAAATAGTAATGCAACCAGGGATGCATAGCTTGAATTTAATCATCAGTAAACATCAGCAAACCCCAATTAAGAAAGACTCTACAGGGGCGCCTGGGTGGCTCAGTCAGTTAAGCTTCCGACTTCGGCTCAGGTCATGATCTCACAGTTCATGGGTTCGAGCCCCATGTCGGGCTCTGTGCTGACAGCTCAGAGCCTGGAGCCTGCTTCGGATTCTGCGTCTCCCTCTCTGTCGGCCCCTTCTCCACTCATGCTCTGTCTCTGTCTCACAAAAATAAATAAATGTTAAAAACAGTTAAAAAAAAAAAAAAAAGAAATACTCTATAAAATAACTGGCCTGTGTCCTTCAAAACTAACAACATGAAGAAAAGGAAGGGTGGGGAGCTGTCCCAGGTTTGAGAAGAGTCAAGAGACGTGGCCAGTAAATGCAATACAGGATCCTAACCTGGGTTCTGGATTCAAGGGAACCTCTAGAGCTTATGACTGGGATAACTGGCCAGGTCAGAATGTGGATTCTGCATTCCAGTTCTGTATCAAAGGTAAATTCCTTCTACTTGATAACCGTACACTAGTAACATAAGAGGATACCTTCGTCTTCGTTCGAAGGAGACATAGCCACAGTGTTAAGGGAGAGAGACCACTGATGTGCGTGCCGTGTGCCGTGTGCTCTCATGTGGTTCTGAAAACAGTGCTATTTCGGCTCACCGAATCAGCGCCTCAGCCGGGCAGCCTTGTGCTTCTCACGGCTGTCACGGGAGCACGCGATTCAAGGGAGCAAGTAGGGCTCCCAGGGCCCGATGGCGTCCCCTAACCGAGCCGTGAGCGTTCCTCACCCCCGTCCCCTGATCCTAGCCCAGCGCAGTCTCGACAAGAGCGGTGTGGATTCCAGAAAGGAACTAAAGGCAGAAAACCGCTCTTTGGAGGCAGAGCCCAGTCATTTCTAGACAGTTAATGGACGACACCGATACCTTCCCCAGGTACTTAATCCCTTCCGTCTCCCAGGGAGTAACTGGTAATCGTATCGGGATCACCTATACTGTGCTGCAGAGATACAGCAGGTGGGATGTGTGATAAAAAATACGAGATGACCCCAGCCCTGGTCCTTGGATTCTGGTCCCACGGTCCAGGACGAGGAACCGGGTGTCCCTGGAGAAACGGCCGAGTCTAGGGCTGGGCCAGGGTAGATGCAAGGTGAGCCCGCGGTGTCCGCGAGAGCCAGGTCAGGAAGGGCTCAAAGCAGCAAATGGCAAAGGACCTGGGGGCCGAGCCTAAGGAGCCCGTGGGGGCCAAAGTGGAACAGTCTGGGCAAGGCGAGCAGTCGCTTCATAATGGATCGTAACCCAGAGTAGGAGGGAAGCCTCCTGACTCCACGCCAGTATACGTGAGTGGCCGAAGAAAGAAAGAAAAGGCAGAGAAGAGACTCGCGCTTCTCACAGAAGAGCCCTAAATACCGTATGCAGACGCTCTCCCTCCAAGAGGAGGGCTCCCAGCCCGCAGACCCCTCCCTTGAGGGCGG